CTTTGATATTGTGTATGAATTATCCACTGGGGATTTGAAAGTTGCTGTAATGGCTGAATGAGTAATAGGCTCCTGTGAGTGGATCATTAATATTATTGTAGCTAGAGGTATGTGTGTGGTTGGGGGTGGAGTGTGACAGTCTGCCTCTCTTTTTTTCTTTCCATTTTCTATCACACACAAACGCACCGTGAGGCATGGCTGAGAAAGGCTCAAATAAAGATTTGAGTCTCACGAGGCTCCAAACAAAGACCAAACAATTAGAAGGTAGACAGTAACAGATACGCAAAGGATTGTAATTTTCACCTGAGTGAATCTGAAATACAAATGTGGTTACACAGAGGAAGAGTAGTCTGTTTTTTATGTTTTTACCATTTTTATGTGGCACCGAGAGTGGCCATGAAAATCATGATGTCAACATGGATAAAATGTAACAGAGAAAAATGTTTGCAAGTCACAGCTCATCAGAGAGATAAATACCAAAAAAGTTGGTTCATCCAAGTAAAATTTTCAGTCAAGTTAAGTGTATACAGTGCACTTACACCATTAGAAATTATCCAATGTGTCTTTTTAAATGTTAGTTGGTATTCGTGTAGTGCAGAGAAACATGCTCACCTCAGTCAGCCAAATCTTGAACTAGAAGTTCTCTATTGTTGTTCCTGCCATCTGTCTGCTGTCCACCCTCATTAATGTGCCTCTCTCCTCCATTTGTTGAATAGTAAGTGGCTCCACTAATAAAGAACTCTCACTTTATTTTCAAGCCTGTAATTACTTATCTAATTTTGCCTAATAATTGCTTCATGGCAATGACATGTATATTTACTCGTACCCTTGTACCCTCATAGTGTGTGTTCTGTCTCATAGTGGAGCGTGTTGACAACCAGAGGAATAATTCACGCAGACTAGCCACTTTCATCAGCCTGCTTGTCTTTTGTGCCATCGCCTGCTGCCACATCAAAGCTGCAGCGGTGTTCCTCTCAGCTGGAGACATGAATACATGCATAAATGTGTGTGTTTGTGTCTGCAAAAAGGTGCATATGCATGCAAATATGTGGGGAAAGTGCAGAGAAAGATTTTGTATCAGATTTACCTTACACAACACATACATTATTTGTGTAGTCAACACTTTGCACAAGCTGTGGGTCCAATTGATCCTGTTTTTTTGCACACACACACACACACACACACACACACACACACACCATAATACAGTGGTTGCAAATTATTTGGTACCGTCCTTTTAAACGGAGTGTACACTCAGACTTGTGGTGTGCAGTGCTCAAGGGCATTTGTTTGTGCATGCATGTTTGTGTGTGTGTGTATGTGCTTGCGCTATGATATATTGCTCATCCAAGCGGCAGCAGCACTGTGAAGTGCAGTGAGATTAGAAGGGAACCCATTCCTTTGTTAATTTAAATAGGTTCATGCATCATGCTTTGCGGGAGCCTGCCGATCAGAGCATTAAGGAATGGCGAACATTGCCCAGAGGTGTTTTTAATGGCACAGCAGGGTTTCAGATGTAAAGAGGTTTAATACCCTGCATTTGAATAAATGCCTGGTTGTTGACCCAGGCTTTATGAATTTTGTGATCTGAGTAGTTTGAGTATTTTTGTTCATATCATTAGATGTCACTGCTACTACTGGTCAACTTACTTATTTTCTGATAGTAGCTCTTCATATCTGAAGTAAACATCTCTATCTTTTGCACATGCTGGTGTGTTTGGATGCAGTACGTTAAATTTCAGCAGTCAGTATCACATATAGGAAGATGGGTATTTTACTTATCCAGAGTTGTTGGTGTTTCACTTAATGCACATTTTCTCATTTGAAAAGAATGAGTGTGTGTATTTTGACAGTGCTATATATATGTTAAAACATATGTTGTACCATACACTTTCTTACCATGATCAGTTTATTCTTTGAAATTTATGTTACCTCAACCCTGTCTATTTTATCATTGAAATTTTCCTATTGTTTTTTTTTTCTATATTTATGTTAAGAAAATAATACTAGAAAGAAGAAAATACAAATTCTGTTGCTGCTCATACACCATTTCATACTTTAATCTCTTCTGGAGTTTACTGGCGCTGAGACAAAGAGAATACAGATGCTAATTTGACATTGCTATGCAGTGGTCAGTGTTTTTTCTCCAAGGATATTGAGGGTAAAAATAAATGCAAATATTAAGAGCCTTTCATGCCAAAAGCCAAAGGTAAGGAAAGAAACAGAGTGAGTGAAAGGAAATGGATTGAGTAATGAGGTGAGGGGGCAGTATTAGAGGGTCAGTCTGGCCCGGCTGTTCTACATGCCACGGTTCATAAAACATCCATTGACAACATGTATCAAGCCTGACATGCATGCATACAAACACACACTTACTATTGTTCTTTTTGGCAACAATTTTCAGATTTAGTTTTAGTCCTGTAATGAATTGTCCATTTGAATTTTAGTCACATTTAGTCAACTTCACCCCTCATATTTTGAGTCAGTTTAGTCAATTGTAAGTTAAGAGAACTATTTACATTTTAGCTTAGTTTGAACAAGTTGGTTCTAACTTTTGGTTAACACATGATTAAAAATGTTGCTTTTTCAAAAGTGCTAGAATGGGCTCTGGTCTGCTGTGAAATAAATAAATTAATAGTAAAGTAGACAGTTGAGTCATGAAACATTAGCTGATATAAGTAGAAAAATTTCATCATATAAATACTCTCAATAAAATGACCCGCCGTGGGATTGCAGATGTTAAGATCATGGCTCCTTCCCAGATCAGAACAGCAAAATCCAAATTAAAAACATTAGGAACATTGTAAAAACCTGCATCAATGGAACAAACAAACAAACTGCTTCAACAGTGAGGCAGACTACACAAAGCATTCTTACACACCATCCCTCCCCCAAAAACCATACTGTAGAAAAAAATATTATGATCAAGAAAAGTCTCATGAATCACCAACATTCAGAAATATTAACGTCTTTAATTACCCTAGTTTCTGTGTCCAGGTGCACCTTCTCTATCTCTTGAGATTGGTAGTATTTTAAACCAAATCCAAACCATGACAGCTTTGATATACAACAGTTTCTCTTACATATGCACTTTCACCTTTTGAATCACCAGGATTGTTGATTGATTGACCCAACAAGACAAATGTTGTGTCACCCAGCAGGTGTTGTACTGTAACATGACTGCCAATCACCACTCAATGCTGCCATGAATACAGAGGATAAAGACTGCAGCATGTAGCCTTGAGGCCGAAGTCCCTTAAACCTGCATTCTATCGAACACTCGGCAGGGGGCGACTCTTGTGGTTGCAAAAAGAAGTCCGGTTCCATTAGAAATAATGGCAAAATGACCCTACTTCTCATCTGATTTATTACCTGAGTAAACACTTCCTTAATGAGTTTATGGTCTCAATCCCTAGTTTCAGGTCTTTTTCAATACAACATGATGTTCATTTAGTAAATTTTGGTCCCATTTAGAGGAAAATAGACCACAAAGCAGAGTATGCTTCAGGGCAGGATTATCTGTGATTGACAAGTCATTACCATGGCAACCTGTCAATCAGGCTAGAGTGACTCGTACCCACGGCACTATGTAAATTTAACCAGCGCCGTTGAAAAAGCTTATTAGGAGTTGGCTGTTCACTTTCTCTGGTGAGTACATTTAGTTTTAAGCCTGTTGTTCGCTAGACAAAGTTGTCAGCCCAGTCAAAATGACAGTTAAAGTGAAGTACAGATGCACCTAGCTAAGCAAGGTAGCTATCTCCACACACAGCTGTTAGCTCCATCTCCCCCAAATATGGTCACGTCCGGTGCCGCTGGTTGCAAAAAATCAACATGGCGGCGCCCAATCGTCCAAACTCTAGGCTTCAAAACGGCAGTCCACAAACCAAAGGGTTACGTCACGATGACTACATCTACTTCTTATATACAGTCTATGGTTCATACAAGAAAGGTACTTAACTCTGAACCTCACTGAATCTTTAAAGTTATATACTCTTTCATCAAATGTGGAATCAGTAACTGCAAAATTCATTAAATGTTGCACTTGATTCAACTAATGCACCTTTGGGACCTTGTCTTTTTTTAATACACAGTAAACACCTCGCTGTAGTGTTTTAGCATAACCATCAGCCTAACCTGACCTAGATTAACGTGTAAATTTACATTACGTTTTTACATTTACATTTTATAATTCGGTTGTACCAAAATCCTAAATCTAGGTTTAAACTAATCTGGTTAAATTTTGGACTTTTCTTGACATGTTGGTTTAGTCCTCTCAGAACCTAGATCATGTCCTGTCCTCTGGTTGTTTATGGTTTTTTGATGATCATTTCATTTTTAACGCACTGCCAAAACAGCCTGCCACATAGCTTAAACTAAAGGCTCCTTTAGACTGTGTGACAGCATTTATCATAATTGCATGTCACACTGTGCCAGATGAGTCTAATCTAAAATCTTAAGATTATCATTATGTATGATGACTGTACAATAAATGCGTTGTTTTTATCTCCTAAACTTTAATCAACAATGATGCTCTTGAAACATCATCCTGGCCAAAATGGTGTGTTCTGTGTTATTTGTTATCATATTTTGATTGGTTGGTGTATAGACGCAGTCCTTAATCTCTGACACTGCCAGTATTTTGGATGCCAGAGGTCCATGGGTACACATGCCTCACAGTGCAATCTAGGACTACCATTTTGGTCTAAACATTTAACCACGTTTCTTCCAACTTTCATCTCAAACAGCCAAAAAATAGTATAAGGAGGACTTGCAAATGTAACTGCTCAAAGGTGTCAAGATGATGGTTCTATTTATGAGATTTTTGTTAGTGAAAACTTAAATCTAGAGATCTCATTTTGGCCTGTATTTTTTGTTGTGGCTTACACAACAAAATGTTAACTGTGTTTGGGAAGTTAATCTAAACTATGACCTAACTTAACCTTAGTTTAAATAAACCACTGTTGAGGCTAACCACCCTTTAACTTTGTTCCTCTTCACAGGATCCTCCAGTTCTTCCTGTCGGCCAGTTCAGTGAGAAGTTTGTCCACTTCATCACTCAGTGGTGAGTTAGTTACTGTTAAATACGCTTTGTTTTGGACACATAAGTTATTGTAATTAACACATTGAGATTTTAAATTAATTTTGTCTGTTGTCAGTGGTTGTTGACGGTGTTGTGCATGTGTTTGTGATTCTAGTTTGTACTAGCTTAATATGCTTGGTACAGTCAACCACACTGTCTGAACGCCACACAGCCAGACTGAATAATGACAAAGACCACAAGCAGCATTTGTCATAAACCAAATTATTGTAGATGAATCAAAGGTATAATGGTGTACAATGAGATTAAAGTGCATTTGCCTGTGTGTGTTAATGCGTTGTGGTTGTAATGGTTTTAGCTATGATTTTCGCTGCTGCTGATATTGAACAAAGAGATTTTTTACAAGGACTGATTAATTTATCTAATGCGACAGGACAAAGACTATGTTTACACTGCATTTGCCTCTAATTCATTAGCTTCTTGTAACCTTTACAGTTGCACAAACATCTACATACACACCCAAACCACATGCAGGCAGTGTGTGTGTGCAGCAGTCGCTTACTGGCTATACCAGCTGTTGTTTTCCCCCATGCCTGTTTTATTTACTCAAACAGGGCACCTCTCTCTCAGGACTGAGGTACTGGTTCCCTGCCCTGCCTTGGTGCAGGGCTGACACTATCTTCTCCCAGGCTATTCTAAGAGGGTCGTGGCCTGTTCATTGTAATACATAAACCAGTTACATGACCAACTGCAGACAAGCCCCTGTACTCATTCTTCAAAGTCCCCAATGTAGGTCGTTTTGACAGATTGTGTATGTATACATACTATGGAGGACACTCACTGAAACAGACGCATTGTCCACTGAACCAGTGTGGTAACTGCTTCTATTTTTGTGTGTTCTTAGTTATTAAGAAATATTAATTGAAATTAGAAATATTAATTAAATGATTCTATTAGAAAAACATGTGCTGTGTTGTAAAGCTATAGTGTTTATTGTCTACCAAGCCCTCTCTTTCAATTTCTGCGGCATAAGCCTCCTCTTGAGTATTTATTTATAAATTAAAATGATGCAGTTGAAATGAAAGTTAGTTAACAAAAACAACTCTTGCACACTTAAAAACTGTTTGAATAGTGGCTGGGTATAGACTGCTTGTATCTCCTTTTTTCTCAGTATGCGGCGGCAACCCAAAGAGAGGCCTGCCCCTAATAACCTCATGGTAAGTTAAACCAAGCTTTCTATTAAACAAGGTTTAAAGGACCACAAAATATAAGTTTTGAATAACTGTGTACAGAGGGTGATAATATTCATGCATTCCAATAAAAATTCAATTAAACATAATTTTATTATCTCTGTAGTTTTTGGAGTATACAAATTGTATTTTATGCAACGATTGAGGTGTTACAGGTCAAGGACTCTCGAAGTTTGCATTGCTGTGTGGAAACAACAGTAATGAACTTTTCACTGCAAATGAAACGTGTCAGAGGGAGGTCATCGAGAAACCTTGATAGGATTGAGACCCACTTCAGCGATAATTCGTTCAATTCACTGCATTGGAGCCAACCTGAATGGATCAGGCCTAGATTCAAATCATTCTAGTTTACAGGTTTTATAGCCTAATAAAAATTTGTGCAAGGGACAAAAGGAAATCTTATTTAAGTAGGTGTGAATGTGTGTGTGTGTGTGTCTGTCTTTGTGCACTTAACGGTAAGAAAGTTTGCCCAGCACCATGTAAAGTTATCATTTGACATCTTGTCAAAACATAATTCAAATCCTAAAAGTTTGCTTTAACCAAAGTGACCTTGTGTCTCATTTGCATATTAGAGACATGGAGAAACCATCACTGTTTGCTTTTATTCACAAATGTAAATCACTAGGTCTGTTGTACAATTTATCAGACATCATCACCTATCCCTTTTGGTCATTCACATGCATATGTACCATTTTGTAGCTACCACAACATTAGTATTATTCTGGTTATATTAAACAGCCTTTGACAGGGTATAGTTTTAATGTGCTCACTGAAATGTTGAAATTTCTAATTGGACTGGCAATAGATGATGGACATTGATACATTTCTTTCAGATCTCGATTTTTAAAATGTGAATAGCTTAAGACCTAATGAATTGGGTATCTTTAGGCATATGGTTAGCGTTAAGAAGGTCTGAAGTTAATTTTTTGATTTAATAGCATTAGGACAGTGTTAAAGATACTATTAGGTAAATATACACAGGTATTAGCAAGAAAAACCTAACCGTCTAGTCTAATATAGTACATACGTGTGTTATTTCAGGTGGCTGTAAGGAAGTTTGCTAATGTTGGTTTTCAATGGCTGACATGACTGAGACTCGCTGGCTGAGAATAAGGCAGCTGTGCCAAAACTCCTAGATCCTCTGCATTGTAACTCTGGTCCAGTAGAGAGGACTGTGTGTCTGAGTGGTATACAAGTCACACCACATGCCTTCCTTCTAATGTGGACTTTCATCTTTTTTTGCATTAGCACAAGGCCGCAGCAGTTAGCAAAAACTGCCTTTTAAGAGTTGCAACATGCTCTGGTTTCTGTGTTAGGACCAAGGACAGCGACAGTTAGGTCCACAGAGAGAGGAGGGCTGGAGGTTTGTGTTGTGGGGACGGAGGGCTGGAGGGTGTAAATGCAGAGCTGCTAACAGATTGTATGTTCTCAGTCTCACACCAGGAAGGAGGAGTAAAGGGAAATGTTGTCTAGACACACATTGGGAATTCTTTCCTCCAGACAGAAGTGTTTCTCTTGAGAGACAGACCACGCACTACTCCTTTTGGGGAAGTTCGACCTGTTATCTTTGCGGTGTGTTGCTTTGAACACAACTTCCATTGTTTGTGTTGAGTGACATTTTGACTCCAATCATAAATATTTGTGTGGATGTTCTATTGTTCCAGTGGAGAGGATGTTATTTTTAGTTTTATTCAAATATCAGTTCTACATCTTTGTCTCTCTTAATCTGGCTGAATGCCCACTCTGAACTCGAATGAAGAAGAATATTAATACTTGACAAGACTAGATTATTAGCTCTTTTTTTACAGTGTGTTCTTGTAATTTCTTGCATCCTCCATTACTAAAGTAACCAAATTAACAAAAGGGGTTGCAACAAATATCAGTTTACATTATTTCATCAATGAAAATACAATTTATCCCCCAATATACAAAGACAATTGATCTGGGACTCTCTGTAAACTCTTGTTATGTAATGCTTCTTATCAGTGGAATTTAAATATAAGTGATAAAATTCTGTAATAAATAAACACACTGTAATACCAAAGAAACAAACTAGAATGTCCTTCATAGTTGTCCTCCAACTGTCAAGAAGAATGAAAAAAGAAAATAAATAACCATCGACCATGTGGTTCAGCGCATATCATAATTTTTTGTGTATAGCACACAGACTGGACCAAAAAAAAATTTGAATTACAACAACAACTTTTCAGTTGGTTACCCTCTTAAATATACATTTCTGTTAATGGTCTGTTAAACATTGAATTTGACTGGCACTGTTGGTTCAATTTATAAAAAGAAGAATGCAAGAACGATCTTAGGTCCTTGTTGGTAGCACCCTACAGGACTTTGACCACGAAGACCATTACGGGGCAACAGTTTTATGAGGGAGTCCAAGTTTTATTTATATTATGCAAGACGCACATGCACGCGTACTAGCTGACGGTAATGCACCAATAAATGCTGCAGTGCAACAACAAAGGCAGGGAAGAAGTTAAAAATTTATGTCAACAAATCAGGATTTCAAATATTAAAATAAATGTGCTATGCAGAGGTTTTATGAAGGACAGTCAAGAATACTGCACATTTAAGAGTCTTAAGATAAAGGCAATGAGCAGAGTCCATTCCTTCCTAAATTTAACTTTCTCGGGGTAATTTCTTCATGCTTATTACCTTTTTATGTTGCAATAAAAGCAATCAGAGACATATGACAAAAGCTTTACTTGCCTGAGTGTGGGTTCTGTTGCCTAACAGGATGCCTAACATCTGAGCAGCATTATTATATAGACTCTTTAGAGTGCAGAGCAGCTGAAAAAGCAGGTATGACTGAATCACTTTATCTTTAATGATGCAGGCATGCAACATGTAGCATATAGCCCATCTTAGACTACAAGAAAGCATATTTGTTGTATTGTTTCTCCACCTATAAGATTTGTTGTACTGTCAACAAGTGGCAAATCTGGGTTTCTCGCTGTTTTTTCTCATTTGTTGGGAAGCATCAGTGTTACTCTAACTTTGCTATCCTTTCATCACTATATTATGTAGCTTCATTTTTCAACCACACACAGCTTTTTCTTCCTTCTGGTATTAAAATGCGGGTCGTCATTGCTGACAAGGTGGCGTATTCCTCACTGCCCCTGTCAATGTTTTTCTCACTCTCCTCCACATTCGTACTCTGCCCCACTTCCCTCACATTCATTATGATCCCTGTCCTCCTTTTGAAATTTTCATAGTTCCTTCTATCTATTTTCTTCTTCCACTGTATCTCCATCCCTCTCATCTTTCATTTACTTTTATTTTTGTCCTCCTGTAGGCCTTTCATTTCTTCCTCTGCCCACTGTGAACTAAGAGATAAGGTCATGGATGCCTTTGTGGCACCAGCCTGCTGATTGTCTTTCTCTCTCTCCTCCCGCTTATTCCCTCTTTACTCCCCCCCCAGCCTCCTGAGTACATTAAAACTCTTTACCTATTCTATCTGTATGTTAATGCACCTAGCCAAAGCTCCCCTTTTCTCCTCTCCCTCTGCTGTGCAGAAAGGGCCACCATTTGCTCTCATTTTTTATATTTGCAGCTCATTTCTCCAGGAAGGATGCAGGAAATCACACAATAGTGTAGACACTGAGCAAATAATGTTTTATGGCCATACAAACTTATCTAGTTGCTCTAGTTTGCTCATCAGGTGTCAGCATGTGGTTTCTCTAATCACTGGTGTAGCTTTTATTGTCACTGGGATTTCATCCTATTAGACGTTCTTTTAAAAGGCTTCTGTTTGATTGTATTACTGCTCTTGATGGGCTCTTTTTTAAACAGTGTGCTACTACTTATACTGGATGCTTTGCTCATACTATTAATATTTTATCCTTTTCAGTTCAACTGTTTGGTTTTTTTTATCAGTTTACCTGACAAAGGCACACTGTCAAAGGAAAAACCCTTTTCTGAGTTTAATGCTATGTTCCCAATATGAATAAAGGGAGAGAGAACAGAGATAATCCAAAGAAAAAAGTGAAGAGCAAAGCAAAATAATGCTAATAGAAAAGTAAAGTTAATAATAACAAAGTTATGAAAGAGTCTTGTCCCTCATTTAATGATTGACACATTGCACTGCCAACTATTACTATTACTATACACCAAAAGCACTGCATATGCTACTATTAAGAATGACCAATTGAGTCAGGCGCCCAACTGCATGTCTGGTGGTGGCAGCAGGATGGTCTGATCTGAACATGTTTTGTTAGGCGGAGGTTAAATTAAACAACTTTTGAGGTGCTTCATATACTTGTGCCAATTAATGAAATCCAAAATCAGCTTTTGAATTGTTGCTTTAACAACCCAAAAGAACAGCCATTTTAGTCCTTTAATTAACCTAAAATTAGGCCAGTTTCAGACCCAGGTGTAGTTGTATATTCAAGGTGCCTTGTGGAGCTTGTTTTTCTTTTAATATTTAAAATTATACTTTTTTTACTACTACTCTTTTTCTTCACTGCCTTTGTTGGCACATTACTACATTTCTTTGGATTTCAAACAGCGGAATAGCCTGAAACCAGCTGCAAGAATGCGTACACATTTGTCCTACTAGTGATGAAAAATTCCACTGGGTTTCTTTAGTGTTAAACTGAAGCAAAACAATATGAAACAAACGAGAATCCTTTCTTGCTCCATGTTTTTTTCACCACATTCTACTACACAAACTATATTCTCCAAAAACAACCCATAGTTTTTTTAACTAGTCATTACCTTCATTATCATTTAAGCTTCTACAAATAAATTTGTAAAAAAAAATTCTAAATTGACTTTAAAATGTCATGTTATTTGTGATATTTAGTTTTTAGCTTTAGAAATTGTCGATTTACTTTGCTCCACAGGCGCAATTTCTAGTGCTGTACAGTATGTAACAAGTAAATCAGTGGCTTGTAATTTGACACCTTACAAAAAAGCCAACACCAATGGAAACCTTGAGATGATCTGAACCC